AGAGAGAGAGAAGAGAGAGAGAGAAGAGAGAGAGAAGAGAGAGAGAAGAGAGAGAGAAGAGAGAGAGACTGGCGCAAAGAGAAAACGGAAAAATCACAAGCGATTCGATTCATCGATAACACCCATAATCTACAGAAAACTGATATTGAAACATGCACGTTGGCGTTTTTTTGCGTTTTGAGGTTATATTTACACGGACACATCGCGATTGTGAGTTTTTTGCAAACTGTCTGCCACTTTAGATATTTTTTATGAAAAAATAAGATTATGCACGAAATTTCGTTTTGAATAGATTTAGTACTTTGAAAATGGGGGACAATTTGCAATAGCTGACAATAAAGATTTGAACCTGTAACAGAGACATAGTGATGAATGAACGAACGAACGTACATGAATGAACATGAGAGTAAATGAATGGAATGGACGGCCTCGCTGATTGGCAGACAATGATTCGAGATCGTGAAAGTGCGAATCAGTTGTTATGTGAAGCGAAAACAAAGGCAAGAGAAACAGAGAGTCTTTACTTTGCCTACCATGCTGTTCATACACGCTTCAGATATAATGTATATTGGTATATCTATCCGGAGAGCCGGATACGACAATTGTCCAATTCCTTTTTTCTTTCTTTGAAACATTTCACTCAACTTTCCTGGTCATTTTGTACATTTTCAATCACTGTTAAGTGTTTCTAACCTCTATAACAGAAGACCAGAAAAGTTCGGAATTCTCGTTTCTTTGGTCTTACTTCTATCTACTCCCTGTACAGTGACAGAATTCGTTGAAATATTCATACAGTGTTTCCGTGTAACGTCAGATGTTTTGTTGCTAAATAAATGATCCAAGTGTCTAAAATTGTGAGAAAAGTGGACAGAGGAGTGGTAATAGAAGAGAGACAAAAGATTGGAGCGAATATTCGTCAAACAAAGCAAGAATTTCACAGGAACACTGACCTGTCGAGGCTTGACCGGCGGTGGAGGACGAATGGAGGGCGCGAGGGCTACGGGTGGTACCGTAGTTGAGAGGGGCTGTTGATGAAGTGAGTGTGGAGGCTGCCAGGGCAGCCCTGTGCGTCCCAATGTTCCCTGCAGCTGTTGCTGCGCCTGCAGCTGCTGTTGCTGCAGTTGCTGCTGACTGTTGTGCTCGACTGCTTGCGTAACTCGAGGAAGCGCTGAAGCGACTGAAGAAATCTTCCGAACTGTCTGTGAAATGAGTGACTGATTATTCGGCTCTTATTCTTCTGGTTATGTTGTTTCATCAGGCCAATTTTTCACTATATTTTTTTTTTTTTTTACTTCATGGATCAGAAAGTTCTAGAAAAGCCTGACAAGTTGTATTTAAAGTATTAGGAATGACGACATTACCTGACTTTACTGGCCAGATCTCCAGGAGGTACTTGAGCATCGCTATTGGCTGTTGGAAGTCCAGATGTGGTCCATTTTCTTCTGAATGCAGCATCAAGACTGGTCCAAAACAAACTGCCAAACTGGCTGGTGACATTTTGTTGCATTGCGATACTACCATTGCCAGATGGTCAAGGAGATAGATCAATGTACACTGTTAGAAGGAAAAATTTTTAGTTCGCTTCTTTGAGGTGGAATTTAGAGGGAATTTTAGCTTAGGTACCAACCCTGTTAACTTTCGGTAGACAGTCTAGTATACTGAACATGAGTTTCGCGTTGCCTTGAGGATCATCCGGTAGACAGACGGCCAGTGCGTCGACCATCATCTGGTAGAGGCACTTCGTGAAGAGTGGTTCTGGAAGTTCTCTTAAATAGTCCTTCAGTACACCTGGAAGATGATTTCAAATCATTATAATTGATCCATTACGCGTACTTCAACTTAGTTACTTACCAGTGATGACGTTGATATCTGGTACATTGTCAGGAGATAGATTAACTGAACGAGCATTCCTTTCAAAGGCTTCTCTGAGTATCCTCTTCTTCGTTGCTGACCCGCAAAGCCTATAGAGACCTACAACAATAAAATTCTTATTCATAGAATGTTCGAAATTAACAGCACAAGGGATTAAAAGTTAAAAATAATGAAACATGGCTTACCAATGATGTCAAGACCCCTTCTTTCAACCTCCTCTACGCAGCGCCACACTATTATGGGTACATTTGGAACACCCATAGCCAGAGCAGTGGATACTCCACCAGGAACTCCGCCTGTCTTGCTCTCTCGACTCACCTGAACCCAGAACACCCTGATTAATCACTAAACTTGTGGTCTAAAGAACCCTAAATACTTACCACTGTATCAAGATCCACACCGAAAAGAGGCGCTACCCTGGTGGCTAGAGATATGACTGGAAGTCCCCTCCTTCTAAATGTCTGCTGAGCATCGGTATATCTCAGTCTTAAGTAGATTGTTCCACGTGGCTCAACCTTAACAGCCAACTGGTGAACCGGAGACTCCTTGAGAATGGTCGCCAGATGCACAGATCCCTTGTAGCAAAGCTTGTGCCTGTACTGTGGATCCCAGGAATAGACCAGCAAGTCTAACTGTCGGTTACCAACGAGGTCCAGCTCGAAGGTTTCGTCCCAGTCGAACATCAGGTCACCAGTTCGCACCACAGTCCTCGCCTTGTGCACCCTATCGCACTCCAGCACACAGTACAGGTCTCTCAAGCCGCAGCTGGCTGTTTTCACAATCGAACAACAAAGATTACATCATCTGACTTTAATTCTCAAGCTCTAAACCATTTATGAGCAACCTTCCGAAGTGTTCAGGTTCAAAACTTTGAGGTTTAAAGATTGTATGTTGCATAAGTAGGACGTGTTCCCCTAACATTCGAGAGTTTGAGGTGAAAGGATGTACTAGAGGCTTATAAAGTATCCAGTTATGTCAGTGTGTTGTGAGGGGTGTGCAGGGAGAAGCAGTCTACAGGATGTGCAGACTCCCGAACGTACCTAAATTAGGCTGACCTGATGGAGTGGAGGGTGTGGTGGCCGCTGACGAAGATGTCGTCGAGCGGAGACCTCTACCTGCCAACAAGTGGACCCAGAGCAGTCCACTGACCCCACTTGCCAGGTCTCCACTGCTGGTTTCCCCTAGAGAGCTCAGCAGAGAACTGGTCGAACTCGGGGTACCCACTGTTGGAGGCTTCTCTATCTTATATTTGAGGAACTCTGCAAGAACAGAAATAAATTAGAACCTCCAGTTCTACATTTAGAGGTTAAATGAATAATGTACCTGCAGGATTAATATCTAGCAGTCTTTGATCCTGAGTTCTGGTAGGTGTAGGGGTGGGTATGTTCCTGGTGGACTCTAGGTCCAACAGATTCCTAATCCTTCTCACTGACGTTGCCCTTTGGGTGGTGGAGCTACTCAGCGTTGGTTTTTGACTCGTCAAGGAAGTACGAGCGCTGGATGCAACGGAGGCTGGTCTTGGATTCGCTGTTCCGCGATGACACGTCGAGCTAATTGCCGTCGACGCCCTCAGATTGGCTAGATTGACTTGCTGAGCGGAGGCCGACCTCGTTGATAAACGGTCCAAGGTACTGGAAAGCGGTCTATATGTGCCATAGCTACCATATTCACCCTGGAAGGAGTATATACCCAGAAATTTAGAATCTAACCTTAAAATTCTCGAGTAAAATTAGCCTTTATTCTACTAAAGTTACTATTTACTTGATTTACAGCTGCATGGATGTTCTCTGCACTGTAAGTATAACGCGGTGGCCTGGTTGTAGTGGCCCGGATCTGCTCGTACAATGCACTGGTGCTTGGAGTTCGACTGAGCCATGCTCTATATTCATCAGACGTGAACACACTAGGTGATGACGGTATTCTTCCTGCCATTTCAATTTTTTTTTTCAGTATATCAAGAATACCATGTCTGGAGTGCTGTTTGAAGGTAAAACTAACCTCTATCACGTCTGATGGAAGGTAATTCAGGCGCAGACAATGCTCCATCACTGTCCTCTTGATCTATCAGTCCAGAGGCTACAGTGCTAAGTCCAGACCTGAGACTTGGCTGCTGAGGCAACGTTCTGCTGCTACGAGGCAGTGAATTTGATCTCAAACCTGAAGCAACATAACCTCAATTTCTTTGTCTCTTCAAAGACAAGTGAAAGAAAATGTTTTTGATTTTTCTTTTTTTTTTTTGTATTCACCTGAGGAACTCTGACCAATCTGTGACCTAGACAGTGTGGCAAGGTGAGAGACAGCGCTGCTTTGTGACGGATTGTTCATATTGTGCCTATAGGAATAGTACGCAGACTTAGGCGAATTGGAGCATGTTGCCTCTGTGTCTGAAGCATAATCTAAAGACGGTCGATGCCTCCTGGTTAATGTGCCAAACTGACTTTGTCTTTGAGTGGACGTTGTGCTGTCTCCCTGAGTACTGTACCTAGTGTTGTATCTCAACGCTGACGTTCCTGTTGATTAAAACATATCAAAAAAGATGTTTACTGCTTCAGGGGAGTTTCTTGTGCAGTCTGAAGAAAAATGTCAGACCTGACTTCAAGCTGGATCTGAGAAGAGTGTGTCGAGCAGGGGTAGTGATGCTTGTGTAGTCTACTCGTGGCAAATGCTTTCTGGGCATGATTCTTCCGCTTCCTGTGTGCTGGCCGTAACCATAGTGAGTAGCCTGGGTCTGACTGGACAGTCTACTGCCCACTGACTGCATCCCCGCTCCCGTAGACATCCGGCGACCGCCATTAGAGGGCATTACTGGCCCCGCGTAGAAGGAGTGTACCTAAATTTAATAAAATTCATTAATTTACACTTTCCCATTGGAATTTTTATTGTATTTTTCCTTCAGCTCACAGTAGATCATTTAATTGTTCTAATTTGACCAAAAATATAGCTTCTTAGGACTATTTTTAATTTTAATTTAAATAGTTTAGGTTATATAAAAAAAATTGGGTCTACTGTGACTGAGGGAAATTCTAATTCAAATACTTTATGTCACCATGATTGATGGATGTCTATTACTGAGAAATCTATGAATCATTATGGTGTATCATGACAGAAGAAAGAAATAGAAAGAACGAACATACAGCGAAGCTTACAAGGCAACAAAAAGTGGAATCACACCATAAATAGCGACAGATGATCACTTCCATCTGAACACTGACAGATATTCATCATTCTCAGAATCTATTTCTATTCCTATGATGTCTTTATAGATTTCTCATTATTCTTTTTAAAGCTGATAATATTT